ATCCCATCCCATCCCATCCCGTCCCGTCCCGTCCCGTCCCGTCCCGTCCCGTCCCGTCCCATTCCATGTACTGTGGACATTCCCATGGACAGGACAGAAGAGNGATCTGATGCAGGAAATAGCTACCGAATTAGGATTAACTAATTGTTGGATATGTGGCGGCCTGAAATCAGCCGAAAGATGGCCATGGAAGGGAGAAGGATTAACCCCGGAACAATTACTTAAGTGGACAGGATTGAAATTATCCAAAACAACCCGGCGACCAGAGGGGTGGGTGATTGACAAAAGAATCATTGGAACTTTTTGTGTCAGTCGGGAAGGAAGGGAATTCACTGAGCTAGTTGGTTACACCCCGTGTGTAAAAACTCTCTCGGTAAATTCAGATAAAAAGACAAAAATTTGGCAGCCGGAATCACCCGAGGGCTATTGGAGCCAATCTCGGGAAAACAATTGCGAATGGGTAGATCTAATTGGTTTATGTTGGAACAAACAGGACGGGGCGAATCCCTTCCATGCCTTTCTCGGCCTGAGGGAATATTGGGAGGACCCGGCAAAACTTAACAGAGATTGGAAGGCACCGGATGGGATTTACTGGATATGCGGAAAAAAAGCATACAGTGAATTGCCCAGAAATTGGAAAGGGTCATGCACACTCGGAATAATTCGGCCTTTCTTCTTTACATTACCTAAAGATGAAAGTAGGTCTTTAGGTGCTCCCCTCTTTGAAACTCTAGCCCGACAAAAGAGGGAATTGAAACGGGAGCTACCAATAGCCGGAGGTAACCACAAATGGAAGGGGGAGGAATGGCCCGCCGAAAGGATCATACAATATTATGGACCGGCAACATGGGCAAATGATGGCAGTTGGGGATACAGGACCCCAATCTACCTCCTCAATCGGCTCATTAGGTTACAGGCTGTGGTAGAAGTTGTTTCAAACCACACTTCAGAAGCCCTGGAACTCCTAGCAAAACAACATTCCCAGATGAGAGCTTTTGTCTACCAAAACAGACTTGCTCTCGACTATTTGCTAGCTGAGGAGGGAGGAGTGTGTGGCAGATATAACGAGTCAGAGTGTTGCATGGAAATAGATGACTTCGGAGAAACTATAAAGGGTCTAGCTGCTGAAATAAAGAAAGTAGCCCATGTACCCGTCCAGAAATGGAATTCGATTTTACAAGCCTCTTGGTGGGATCAAATTTTTGGGCAAGGGGCATGGTGGAAAAAGCTAGTATTCTTTATAGGATGTTCAATTGCCGGAGTCATCTTCCTACCCTGCCTAATTCCTTGTCTGATCAGACTGATACATTCTGTCGTTCAAGGAATGCAGATTGCCTCTCTCCCAATAGACCCAGAAAAGGCATAAGGAAACGCTACCCTTCTTTCAAAAATCATGAAGTTAGAAGAAGAAAAAGAGAGTAGAAATGCGGTCAAAGCATTGAGAGAATTTGAAAACAAACATATGTTGTCCCCAGAAAATGTAGGAGAGTCAGACAAAGAGGAAAACGACATTATCTAACCCGATATTCCTCTGAAAAAGTATGTAAACACGAATTTTTAATATGATCAAATTATTAGGTGGGGGACTGTAATAAAGAATTGGGTAAATAAAAATTCGGAATAAAAGGTTTAAATAAAGTATGTGTAATTATAACTAATGAAAATATGGAATAAGGAATTCTCCTCCAGGTCGAGGCAGAATTCCTTTTCCAAAGTCACGGATTGCAAAAGAACCCCCCGAGATAACAAGCTTCAGCAGGCTCATCAACTCGGAGGAAAGGACAGGACACAGGCCATCATAGAAACAAAAGAACCAGCCTAAAAGTCTACCTCCAGATAAAGGCAACGCCCGGCCGATTTCAGCTGGAGACCATCAAGCAAGACAAAAGGGACGAGCCCCAGGAAAATGGTCGTTGCCAGAATCGAACACCACACCCGCCAAACCCATACTACAGAAACTCAATCAAGAAAGACAAAGAAGAGACTACTCCTCCGAGATATCCATCGGCGCTAGCCCGGATCCCTCGATTCTGCTGTGATGAAATATGTTAAAATACATACAGACTCACTTTGCATTTGAGGAGACTCTGCCCGGACACTTACTGACTCAATGTTCTAGGCCAGGAAATCCATTCACCTGACAATCAGGGACACTTGGTGAATGGAAACTGGTTGGAATTCTAGCCTGGGGACATAAAATCCCTATAAAAACCCAGGCCAAAGAACCCTCAGACGTGGATTTGGGAACACCTATACCTTGCGTATAGACCCTGTCCACCCAGCGCTGTGCTGTCCATTTATTGTGGTTTTTCCTCGCTGTTCGTTGCTTTATTAATTTATAATAAATTTATCTTTGTTAATCTTTAATCTGCCGTTGCATTTATAACACTTCTATTCACTGTATTCAATTAATAGACTATTCAGGAAATAAGGAAATTGAGATGAAAGCAGAAGTTGCAACTGTCAAACCAACATTACTGCTTTGGATCAATTGCAGAGCTTAGTGGGGTTAACTATTAGATGGAGAATGCCAGACTGACCTGTATGTTGAGGATACTGTGCTTGACACTATTGGCAGACACATGCCAACTCCCGCATATAAGGTAGCACTAAATTTTGATAAATTGGCTGAGATTTTTAGTACAAAGAATGGTTGAAATTAATGCAAGTTCAGTTAAAGTTAAAAAAATAATAGGCTTATTAAATTCCCATTAATGCTAAAATTGAAGACTTCTGCTCAGATAAATTCATTATTGGGAAAAGTACTAAAAATGTACCAATCTTTTTGTCCATTTCAAGAGGACCTTTCCTTCTTCTCAAATCAGAATTAAGACATTTCTCTGTAAATTCAGATAGCATTTTTGGATCAGTTTATTTTCCCTATTCATTTAACAAAGGAATGTCATAACTGGCAACAATGACCTCTAAGCACACACAAATAAACGGCAATTTCTTTCTTTGCCTAGTACTTGTTGGCAAATCACCACTGAATGAGACTGACACCTTTTTAACCAAGCAATTCTTATAAATTAAGCCATCTCTCTTCCTTTAGACCACACCTTCAGCCCCATACACGATGCAAAGCTGAACAGCAGAAGAACCAAACCAGGCAAAACAGCTTGTCACAGTATTGTCACAGTACAGCTGGCCTGGACTGGACAAACTAAATCTGACCATAACACAAACCCAATTCTTCTGGCCTGGTTCATGCCTGAACATGTCCCTGGATAAATTACAGGGGACCCTCAGCCACCTCCATTGAAGCTGAGAAGCACATCACTGGCCAGAGATCTGAGTGGAGAGAGTGGGTGGAGAGAGACACCAGCCAATAGCTAAGCCCATGAGTTTTGAATCGAGTATAAAAGTGAGCTCTGCATAATAAATGAGGCTGCTTTGTCTTACGAGCATTTGCTTCACGAGTTGTGGAGTTTTCATCTCCCCACCCACAACTGGCATGCTACACCAGCTGATCAAAGAAAGAAAAAAACAACTCAGAAGTCAAATGTTATCAAAAGCTTACTGTAGCGTTTGGAATTGCAGAAGATCAAAACTGCACAATTGGCCCACCAGAGATTCCATGTGTATATTTACATTTGCTTTATTTAGCTGACAAATGCCCCAGACTCTCTGGACTGAAGGTTCAATAATGCTCTCCTTGTGATACCTCACAGTGTGGATGGACACAAAATTGCTGCATGCAAACTACAGTGAGCTCAGTGTGGCAATTCAGTATTTTGTCCTGAGTCTCCTCTTTACAGTAGGTGTGATCAGCCCTTGAATTGAGAACGGTCAGAGCATTAAGCTCCTGTGCTGTCTCAATACCAGCTGATCCAGAATCGGTGGAAAACAGGAATGTGATGGTCCTGCATCAGTTCCACTAGTTCCACTGTCAGCCTTATATTTTTTGTTTGTTTGTTTGGGTTTTGTTTTTTGCAGTTTGTTTGGGTTGTTGGCTTTTTTTGCAAAATCTTAGGAAGCAGCTGTTTATTCAGTTTGTCCAACACAGGGCAGTTTTGATACTCCGAGAGAAAATTTCACCCTGAAAGTGATCACCAAGGCTGTCCTTCCTTTCTCTCCAAACCCCCATCCGCCTGCATCCTTCTGTGTCGCACCTGTCTTTCCCAAGAGACAGCTTTCAGAAAGCTGGAAGGGAGGAGCCCCCTGCTCCCGGCAGATGCACGGGTGGGCCAGCAGCACAAGGCACAAAGCAGACAGTGCCACCCTGGCAGAGCAGAGAAGGGTAGATGGATGGTTTAGGAGCTCACATACTGCATTGCTGACCATCCAAAGGAGAAATGAAAAACATAATTTGTGGGCTGCTATTGCCCTACCACGTCGATCTGCTGCTGCTCTTCTATTATTGCCACTTTAAAGCACCATAGGGAATGCAACAGCTCCCCAGAATAGGAAAGATCACAATAAAGACATTAGACACTCATCATCACCATGCTTTTCACAGAAGAATGGCAAAGGTATGGCCCTTATTTTAAGAAGCTGTATTAACTACACATCTGACATCCGAAGGAGGCTGAGCTAGGTGATTTATGGGCATCCTTTTGGTTATGTATTCCTGCAGCCGTCCCCCAGGACTGCTGACATGTGACAGTGACTCTGTTGACAAACTCCTGCCTCCGCCCTTCCTGAACCAAAAGATCCTCACATATCCAGCGCCAAATCTTCCATAGACAAAGGCATTTCCAACATGCCTCGAACTCCCAAGCTGCACTCAGTCTCGATAACGTCGCCAGGCTTTCAAGATTCCTGATGCCCAGAGACCTCAGGCAGTGACAAGCCACCAATTGTGGGTCACCAATTGTTGAGAGCTGGAGCAGTGACACAGTGACGGTGTGGCACCGATGCGAGTTCCCAGAGAGCTGGAGCAGTGACACAGTGACGGTGTGGCACCGATGGCAGCGCCCAGACAGCTGAGCCAGTTCCTCAGTCACCGGGCGGCACCCACGCCTGCCCAGCCGCCTCCTTCGCTCCGCCTCCCGCCGCCCCGAGTGAAGAGAAGCCCGAGGCGTCACTTGAGGGGGCTGTGGGCGAGCTGCCGGCGGCGCCCGGGGAAGCGGCAGGACCCGGAGAGGCCGGAGCGCGGTAAGGCAGGAGCTCCGGAGCGGGACAGCGGGAGGGGCCGCGCCGCTGCAGCGAAAGCGAAACCGCGGTGGCGACCCCGCTGTGCGAAGGCGTCGCCGCCGCTGCGTGATCCGAGTGGCGGTGCCCGGGGGCCTGCCCGGCTGACGGGCTCCGAGGCGGGACAGCCCTGCGGGGCTGCGGCGCTCCGTCCCGCCTGTGCTGTCCCGCACCGGGGGCTCGCGGGGAAGGGGAAGCGGC